AGGAAAGGGTAAAAGATAAAAGGGGTTCAAGTTCACAGAAGATGGCGATTGACATTGCATTGAAATTTTTGAAGGTATCAGGGAAGCAAGTAAGCGGAAGGGAGTTCCACTGTCGGCAAGTGCGAGAAAAGACATTATTGATGCAGAAATGGCGGTTACATTTAATCATTTCACCAGTAAAACTGTGATATCTAGATGCCAATCTAGTAGCACGCTTAAATTCATGTAGTCAGGGCCCCAGGGAAAAAAATCGTCAGAGCAGTTGCCATGAAAATATTTATAGAAAAGACAGAGGGAAGCCACATCACATCCGTGAGAAAGTGACTGAAGTCAAGATGCCAGGTCAGGATCGATTACATTGCAGATCCTTCTTTGGATTTTGTCAAGAACCTCGAGATGAACAGCAGAGACACCAGACCAGATATGCCAACAGTATTAAATGCACAGACGAATGGTAGATTTGTAAATATGAATGAAAGAGATGCATTTTATTATACCGGATTATCCGTTTTACCGGACCAACCGATGTAACAAAATAACAATACAATGATACATCACTGATCCACCAAATATACATCTTTCGTATATCTATATCATCACTGACTCTTAAAGAGTCATACTAAACTATTATTAAATACCACACTACCTGTGGCCTTCCAGTGAAGTAATGTTGGCTTTTATAATTAAATAGCTTCAGTCAGTTATGTGCCATGCATGATACACGCTTAGGTGATCATGTATCTTTCGATATATGACTGACGAGGCAGATATTTTCCCGCAGTAGACCAGTTGCCTCCAAAGCTATAGAACCTGGTCTGTCCTGCTATTTACCCATAGCTGGGGGTAGAAGAAGAGGATTCATACCTTTTCCCAAGAGAATGGAATTCAAACTCGGCTCTCCGATTCCTCAATCCGAATCACTATCCATTATTCCACCGTGCCTCCTTAAATAAGTTAATTATTCAAATAAAGTCATTTTTTACTCTGAAGTAGTAACGAAGTTAATTGGAAGTCACGATGTTGGCAGTTTTTAAAAGTTTATTTTGACATTCTAACAGAAGTTATAACATTCCATACATGAAACTATCATTGTATTAAATTTGGTCGTCTGTCCGTGTGTGAAAATATTATGTAAAACCTTGACATTAAATAAATGCGCTTTTATCATGTTTATCTGCCAGTATGAGTTTTATATATTGCCGTTCTTAGGTGCATTGCATAATTAAAATGACTACTTTCCGTATTCAACGATAAAATAAATATGGTAACCATCTTAGCATTTTGATCACAGCTTTTTAGTCAATGGTGGTCTCTCAGTATTTCTTTAGTGAACTCTTCAGCAGTGCATTTCGTTATAATTGTGGGAAATTCAAATGTTTGCTCCTATTGTTTCCCTTATCAGAAGTAACCATCAGTTACTAGAAAATCGGTAGAGTAACATTATTAGCTATTAGTATTGTTATAAAACGGACCACATTTACCTTTCTAAGAAACACCTCTATCAGATGTCTCTCAGGTTTTTCATTTTTGTGGCTATCTTTGCCGCCCTAATATTTGAAACATCGCTGTAGCAATGATACCCGCGTTTATCAATTGCGTTACTTTAAAACATTTTCAAAAACCCGGTAGCCATGAAATCTAAAATTAATCGAGACATATTGAATCATTATCCACGTTTGGAAATACGTACACACATCACAACCGAATATATGATAAAGAAAATTCGATTAAATAATCCCGAGATTATGTTGCCACAAATCTAATTTGGCTTCCTGTATTTAAATACAGTTGTACATTTTATATTGCATCCTGGTATCTTGCGAATAGAAATGGTATTTATGTCCCCATTAAATTTCGTATTTAAAAAAATAATCTTATATAAAAGGGTCTTAGCATATCAGAAAACTGACGCCAGCCATAAAATTAGCAACCTTCATGAATACAATACTTCAATTTTTTTTTTTGCAATTCTTTACGGCATGCAAAATTATAGTTTATCGTTGTTTCAACCGTGGCAATGTCAAATTATTGCCATTATCGTTTCGCAGATGCCGAAACAGAATTCTGTGCACAGGAATAGTTCATTCAAAGTTTTATTAATCGGCAGAAGACTGCTAAAAATATTCAAGGGAAGATATCAACCTACTTGCAAAGATGAAACAGCCACGCTCTGTTACAACTGATACGTTGGCTTATCAAATATATAAAAGTCAAACATTAATTACATATATAAAGTGGGTTGTCTGGAGAACATTAGGTAAAACCGTGACATAAGAAAATTGTCATGATATTATTCATATCTACCAGCATGTGTCTTATATCCTGCCCAACTTCTTAAGACAAATAACTAATCTGCATATACCACTTTAACATTCAAATTTAAAAAAATAACTGTTTTGTTATTAATTTAATTCTGACCCTTTCTTATTATGGAATGGGAAATACCAGATATTTCGAATCAAATCATTCAAGAAAATTGTTAAACTAGAGGGTGTTCCAATAACTCGGATCAATTTTAAAAGTGAATTAAGTTCGAATAATAAAGAACCTTTGTTTTAAAACAGGGGTCATCAATCAGTTAATATATATATTTGCGCAAATGATATGATGAAAAATGGCAATTAGACGATTTTTAGTGAAGCGAAATTTTGCTTGTAAACTGAGCATTGTTTAATGGCTAGCAAGTTTCGTCTGGTTTATCATTATTACTAAATAGTGAGTCCAATCTCAAAAAAATCTATCAAAAATTCGACATTAAATAACGCAAAAGCGATGATAAGTTTTAAAAGAGACCAACCTAACATTATTACTGAATAGTGAATGTCGTAAAACCAGCCAAACTAAATTAATTTACCTACTATAGGAGGCACGGTGAACTGAGAAATAGGAGAGTCGAGTTCGAATTCCAGTCAGATCCATTACATTCACTTATGTGCTAATAACCTTGGTAAAAGTATAAATCCTCTTTTTCTCCGCCATCCCAGTTATGGGTAAATAGCAGGGTAGACCGGGTTCTATAGCCTTGGATGGCAACTGGTCTACTGCTGAGAGAAATTGCAACATACTATGAGAAAATATCTGCCTCGTCAGTCATGTATCGAAAGATACATGATCGCCTAAGCATGTATCACGCATGGCACATAATTGACTAACTGAGAAGAAACAAGTCAAAAGAATGGTCTTATACATGAAGTGAGAAACATGCTAATATATAGCACGGTGGATTCAGGAATCGGAGAGCCGAGTTCGAATTCCAGTCGAATCCATTACATTCACTTATGTGCTGTTACCCTTGGGAAAGGTATGAATCCTCTTTTTCTCTCCCCAGCTATGGGTAAATAGCAGGACAGACCGGGTTCTATAGTCTTGGGTGGCAACTGGCCTACCGCAGAAAGAAATGGCAATCTACTGCGGGAAAAAAATCTGCATCGTCAGTTATGTATCGAAAGATACATAATCGCCTATGCGTGCATCACGCATGGCACACAACTGACTGTGCCCGATATAATTTTAATTATTTCACCCCGAGCAAGGCAATAAAGTCGTTAAGAAGCATAGGGTTACTGGGTGTGGGAGAATACGAGGAAAAGAAAACATTATTAAAGAGGGAGAAAAATAAAAGAATAAGAATTAAGAAGACAGAAGATAACGATTGACTTTGCAATTGAATTTTTGAAGGTCAAATTACGAAACCGGAAGAAAGACCCATAAGGAAGAAATGTGAGAGAACAAAGTGTAAGCAGGGAACTTCCCGTTATATTTAGCCAGGTCAGATGATGAGACCTTGCCACCAATCTAGTAGTACGCTTAAATTCATTATGTACCAAAGAAGAAAAGTCATGAGAACAATTACCGTGAAATCTTTATGAAAGGGGAAGCCAGGTGACGGTGGTAGGAATCCATAATGCTAAATCAGGACCACTAACATCGCAGATTCTTCTTTGTGTTTTATCAAGAATTTCTAAATATATAGCAGAAACACCAGACCAGCAATATTCAAGACATGAACGAATAGTAGGCTTATAAACTCTTGCGAGAAAAACTGTTTAGCACGACATTGTGAACCATCTTTCCAAGCAGCAAACGCAGCAATTGATCCACTATATTCTTTATACTTCATGTCAGCGGAACTCTTAGAGTTTTCTTTTCGAGGCGATAAAAGAAACAAATTGGGCAGTTATTTACTCCAAAGATAAGTAAAAATCTCAAGATTGTTTATTAATGGTATGCACAATCCTAACAACATAAGATATGCAGATAATACTGTGTTGAAAGAAAGACACAGAAATAATAACTGCAGCAATTCCTACACATGGTAGTGAAGCTAAGCGGTAAGAAAGGATTAACTATAAATCCTAAGATAAAATGGATGTGCGTTAGCTAAAAGGAAATATCAAGATGCGAGATACGAATTGGAAATCAAATATAGAAATTAGACTTTTAAGGGAAGTGTTTGAACAAATAACAGAAACTATGATACTGAAATCCAAAGGTTCACTGGGATAGCGATAAAAGCTTTATCACGTTAGTAATGTAATAGCAAACATGATTGCTATGTAATATCGAACTTTCTATGTGTCAGTGAATGCTGGAAAATTTCCTCACAGATGAACGTGAGACGAGACAACAGAGATGTGGTTGTACAGAAGGATGTTGCGAATATCATGAACAAAACGCGTGAATAACGAGGGAGTATTAAAGAAAATAGAAAGATGAAAGATACATAGTTCGTATTTTTTATTGATTTGTCTTTTTTTAAAGGTTTATCAACCTTAAAATTATTTAAAACCAGAACATATTTTGGATTGTAAGAATTTTTTGAGATAATAATGATTTACTGATACAAGTCTTACTATTTAACCCATAGCTAGGGAGAGAAGGGGTGGATTCACACCTTTCCTAATGGTATTTGAGCGTAACGAACCCAGCGAGAATTGGAACTCTGCTCTCCGATTTCCAAACCCGAACGATTATCCATTGCACCGCCCGCACATCCAAGTTTACAGCACTTGGTATTCTCAAGCAATCACCCATCTAGGTAGTGACCAAACTCGAAGTTGCTTAACTTCGGTGATCGGTTGATAACTGGTATTTCAACGTGATATTGCCGTAAGCCACTTATAGATCGAATCAGAAAGAGACAATTGGAATTTCTAGGAGACATAATCAGGAAAGAGGGCTTGGCGAAGTTGATACTAACAAGACATAGTGGCGGCAAGATGGACAGAAAGAAACAGCGAGTAAAATACCAAATTGCGCGGCCCCTTTTGGGGTCGTGGGTGTCAAATATTTTAAGCCAGGGGTTCCTTCCCGTCAGGCAGTACCTCTCCCTCGCGACGGAGTTGGGTTTATTGCCCGGTGTCTGGGGCTCTGCAAAAGGTGAAGTACCGAGGTGGCTTGGGCAATTTTTCTACGATATTGCCGTTAAACCAACTTTAAATTGACCTAGTGTGACATTTAGTAACGACGTGGGTGAACATACCAAGTGAGTTAGTAAAAGGGAGAGTGGGAAGAATACTAAAAAAAAAAAAAATGCTAACACCTTCAAAGTATAGGAAGTTGTGGAAGCCGATATCTCCCATGTCCCGAACACAACAGGACACATTCAACTAGTACATAAATAATAATATAGAAATTTACAGTATATGGAAATTACATGCAAATTAATGACAGTCTTGGAATAGAGGAAATGGCTTCCGTAGAATAAGGACAACAGTATAATTGATTAATTCTGTTTTGACCTAGGAAAGAAATCAAGTTGGTAATTTATTTTTGTCACAACCAATAAGTCTCTTCGAAACGAATAAATCAATTTTTCTTATTTATTTATTTATTCGTTGTATCTTCAAAGTTTTTTTTTTTTTTTGCAGTGCGTCTTCAGGAGAAGTGAGGCATAAAACTGACTTTTCTGAACTATCTTACAAAAGGTCTGCACTTAAACAAGTGACGAGATAAGGTGCGAAAATGTATTTGATTTTGAATGGCCGAAGAGATATAATGCGGAAATATATCTGGAAATGACACTGGACAGACTGATATATTGTTTGTTTGTTTTGTTTTTTTTTTACTTGACAAGCTGAGCTCTTATGATATTGAACTTTATCAGAGACACCCAATAAGGATGGAACTCACTAAATGAAACTTGCCATTCTAAGGCTTACCCTACATACATCGACACGACCTATAATAACAGAATATATATATATATATATATATATATATATATATATATATAAGAAATTCATCCCAAGCCAGGTGATAATGCCACAAAGACACAAGGGGGCTACTGGGAGTAAAGACAACGAAAAGACTTTAGAAGTACCTTGAAAACCATTCTTAAAGAAAAAACAGGAGACAAACTTCTATTCCTGTTCAAGTGACCGGGGATAAGTGTTAACCGGACGATAGGCAAAACTATCTACTATTAAGTATTTGAGGCTTTTATATACATACATACATACATACATACATACATATATATATATATATATATATATATATATATATATATATATATGCAATTTGTTATATATATTATTTATATATCCTATATGCGTGGTACTTATTGGAAAGCGCTCAATATCAATGACAGAGCTAACGTTGATGTGAATTTGTGACCCTGGATTTCACATTATTTGCGATCGTCAGACAATCTATACCCACGCGCGCGCGCACACACACACACACACACACACACACACACACACACACACACATATATATATATATATATATATATATATATATATATAAATTAAGATATTACACCGTAATCATTTCAAATTCGCTATACAGTTGTAGTTGTGTTTCAATGCCTATCAATGTATCCCATCAGGTGATTGTCAATTATCGACGAGTTAACGATCTTTTAAAATTAAAAAGCAAAATACAACATTTTTACGAAAAAAAGGGTAGGTTATAAGGTTTGTTGGCTTTTCTCTGATCAACCAATCAATTATGACCTATGTTAAATTTTTATAAGAGAAGGAAGCTAAAATTAAGAAATATTTTTTTGATAATTGGGTTATGACTCGTAGATTGGCCGTTAACGACAGACATAAACGATAACATAAATGAATATATGAATTATAAAAAACTAGATAATGCCATAACGTAAGAAATTAAAATGGGGTGGAGTGGTAATCTGGTAAAATGCAAACAAGTTATATAGCTTTGTGAGTTTACTACATAATTTTTTTATAGTTGATAAATAACTGCTTTAAGAAACTAGTAAATATTTTAAACGTATAGAATTATTTGGTAAATTAACATGCAACTGTTGAATAAAGATTCTTCATATAAGATGTTAATAACAATCACCAATCAATGTAAAAATGTCAAAAATACAAAACAAATACCAATACGTCGTACAAGATGTTACTAATACTACCAGGAGATTAATACAAAATTATATTAAATCCAAATTAATCTAAATTAAATTTAAATTTAACATTTATGTTTCTGTATTTAATAGAAACACATTAAACTCACGAAGTTTAGGTGCCATAAAGGAAAGATCATCAGGGCAATTACCATGAACGTATTTATAGAAAAAGGCATAGAGAAGTTATGTTACGATGGTGTGAAAGGGACTGAAGCCATTGTGCCAGGTAAGGATCAATAACATGGCAGATTCTTCTTTGTATTTTATCAAGAACCTCTAAATACATTGCAAAAGCACCAGACTATATGTGACAGTAGTATTCAAGGCATAGATATATTTAGAATTAGTAAATAACAAGCACTTAAATTACCTTGGTGTGTGGATCAGTTTTAACATATTTAGCATAGGCGATGAGGAAAGTGAACATAGAATAGAAATGAAAACATGGGACTAAATGAGAAAACCAGCTCAAGTGTCAAAAACAAAACGCCATACACAGATGTTCCTGTTTTGTGTCGAGATGATCATGAAAGGTTTCATTATGTAATTGTAGAACATGGAACGACTGTTTCTTGTAATAAACATCACTGTAGATGTTTATTACAAGCAAATTAAACATTACGTGAAAGTTGTCATTCTTTGTTAAATAAAAAAAAAGGTAAGTCTTCATCATGAAACCGTATTCTTCGAAACCTCTCTCCACACTCAAAACAAGATAATTTGAATGTGAAGTTCTTTCACATCCTCTCTGCTCATCAGATATAATACCTGCAGATTTTCATTTGTTTCGATCTAGAAATTCTTGATAAAATACAAAAAAAAAAAAAAAGAAAAAAAAAGAATCTGCAATGTTAATGGTCCTGATTTGGCATCGTGGATTCCCACCACCGTAACGTAGCCTCCCCCTTTCATAAAGATTTCATGATGACCTTTCCTCTTTGGTACCTAGACTGTCTAGGTTAGATACACCATTTTGTGTATTCAAAAAGAATAAAAGAACAACGATGGAATAACTTTTTAAACTTTTTCGAAAAAAAAAAACAAACAAAAAAACAAAAACAAAACACACACACACACACAAACATCGGTAGTCAGTGTCTAGTTGGGTGATCGCTAGGGAATACCCGGAGCGGTTAGCTTGGATGTGCAGCTGGTGTAATAGCGGTTCAGAATGAGAAGTCGCAGAGCCGAGTTCTAATTCCAGTCGTGTTTGTTATATGCCTTTAGGTAAAAATATCGTTGGGAAAGGTACAAATCTATCTCTTCTCCTCCCATATCTTTGATTTAATGGATTTATAAAGAAAAATTAACGCAAAATGTTTTATTGTCAAAAATATGTATCACATGGTTCAATTAAATATATCCAAATATATATGTGAGGCAATTGTTAAATCTCTTTATTTGCATGCACTGAATCGAAGAATTTAGAGAAAAAAAAACATTAATTTTAAGATATTTTAGAGTGGCCATAAGTTTGTAAAATCAGTAGGTATTTTAAATAGTTAGATTCTGAAATCAATAAGATTCACAAGCGGAATCATTCGAAAAGGGAACTATTTTTTATGCAACCCAACACCACCTTTCTTCGCGAAATGGTAATTTAATACACACACTGTCCTGTTTAGTAATCGTGTTTTTAAAACCAAATCAATTCGTGGCGTTTCTTCAATGATAGCTCTGTCTATTTATGAAGTGAATGTCGATAGTGAATCGTAAAGGATATACATCGGCTCCAAGAGCTTCACCAAAACCTTCTTATGATAAATACAAGTTTAATATTATGAATATAATTGTCCCCACGTGAATCCCTGTTTGCTGAGAGAATGAGGCACTACACAGCCTCTAAAATTTTGGCCCTCATGATTACTGGCGTCTTTGTAATAGGGTACTAAATAAGTGCAAGATCTCTATTTCCCGCTCTTCAATCGATTTGGCGTGTTATCATCCTCTGCTGATAAAGCTGAATACTTTGCTCGAGAATTCTCCTCAAGCTCTACTCTTGACTGATGTGGAGTAACCAACCCAGCTTCTCACTTAGAACTGATTTTCTGTTGAGTGATATGCATATAACTTCTTCTATAGTTCCTGCTATCATCTCTAACCTTGATCACCACAAACTATGTGAACCCAATGATTTCCCTGTTATAACCATTAAGAAGTGTGCTTCCGAGCTGGCTCTTGTTCTCTCTAAACTGTATTATAAATGCCTCGCTGCCTCCTGTAGTTTGCCTGTTTGCTGGAAATCATCGTCTTTTTTAAGAACACTGGTGAACCATCTGACACATCCAACTATCGGCCTATTAGCCTTCTACTTCTTTTGGGTAAATTCCTAGAGGCCCTAGTCAATGTTAAGTTAGTTCATCATTTCTGATCATAAAGCCTTTTCTCAGGTAAACAGTACGGCTTTCGTTTCTCCAGATCAACTGCTGATGTACTAACAATAATTGCGGAAACACTGTCATGCTCTAGATAATTACAGTTAAGATCGGACTGTAGGACTGGACATCTCGAAAGACTTTGACAGGGTCTGGCATTTAAGTATTCTTCATAAAATAAAAACCTATGGGAACGTTTTAGAGCTGATCCAGTCGTTCCTATCAAAGCGTGCAGTGAAAGTTGTCCTGAACGGCCACTCATCTAGATCCTTTCGAACTAACTTTAATCTTCATTAACAACTTTTCCGCTCTCAACTTGGCCTCTATGATGCCGACACTACTATTTACTCCTAC